TCTTTGTGAGTACAGATATAAGAATTCTAACAAAATATTAGCAAATCATATCCAATAATATGTTAAAAGGATAATGAAGAATGACCACGAACAGTTAAGTCAGCAATTTAAGACTGTTTTAATATATAAGCATCAATCAATGTAATTCACTCCATTAACAGATTAAGGAAGAAACAACAACTGATCATTTCTTATAGACACATAGAAAGCATTTGGAAAAATACAAATTTCATTTCTGATAGAAACTTTAAGCAAAGTAGAAATAGAAAATATCTCAAACTGATCAAGGGCATCTATGAAACCCTGACAAAAAACATTATATTTAATAGTGAAACACTGAATACTTTCTTCCACATATCAGGACAACAGTGGAGATGTGAGGTCTCACCACTTCTAGTCAGTATTGAACTGGAAGTTCTAGTCATGCAATTAGTCAATAATAATATAAGAGGCATCCAGGTTAGAGAGGAAAAATTAGAATTTAATTCTCATATGAATTTATTCTTTTTTCAAAAACATTCTATGGAGTTTACAAAAAACAAATGAAAGCAAATAAACAAAAGCAGCTTCTAAAATAAATAAGTTTAGATATTGCAGGTTCTAAAATAAATACAGTACAATCTATTGAAATTCTGTATACTAACAAACAATCAGAAATCCAAACAAAAACACCTAACCAATTTAAAATAGTATAAAACACACCTTCAAAGGGATCGGTCCAACAAAAGATCCATGAATCCAATACAACCAAAGATACACACTGAAAACCAGGAAGAGCGCTGAGAGAAATGAAACATTTAAAAAATATGTATACCTTGTTCATGTGTTTAAAGTCTTCATATTGTTAAGATGTAGAATTGATACATTGATATACTGATATATATCTCAAATTGATATATAGCTTCAACAAAATCTAATATAATTTTTACCAGGCTTTTCTAATATAATTAGCTAGCTGATTCTAAAATTCATTTGGAAATGCAAGACATACAATGGTTAAAACATTGAAAAAGAAGAACAACATTGGAAGAGTAACACTGTGTGATACAAGACTACAACAATCAAGATAGTGTGGTAGTGTCATAAATATGCACTAGTAAATCAATAGAACCTAATAGGCCAGAAATAGACCAAATCATGTATATGTAAACTGATTTTACATCAAAATGCAAGGAGAATTCAGAGGAGAAAAGATATTTTTAATAAATGGTACCAGGAAAGTTGGAGATATGTATAAACAATGTACTTTTGATTCCTATCTCAAATATTATATAATAATTAACTAAAAATGAATCAGTTATTTACTTAAATGTAAAGCCTAAACCTGTAAAAATGCTAAAAGAAAATATTTACAGCTAAGTAGCTTAGTTTGAACATCAAAAACACAATTCATAAAAGAAGAAAAAAAGATTAAATTTCAGCAAAATTTAAAATGTCTGCTCTCCATAATACACTCTTCAAAGAAGGAAAACACAAACCACAGAGTGGAGAAAATGGAATTATATCCATAATACATAATGAATTCTTAAAATGCAATAATTAAACAAGCTATCTAATAAATATGAGGATGAGAAAATAAAACAGACATAAGATGAATATATCAAAAATAGAGCACAGATTTGTAAATAAGCTGAACATCATTAGTGTTTAGGGAAATGCAAATTTATAAGATAATATATGCTAACCCATTTATTATAATGGCTAAGATTTAAAAGTTTGGCCATATTAAATCACCATGAAGGAAATGTAGGAACTGGAATTCTTATACACTCCTGGTAGGAATATAAAATGATACAATCACATTGAAAATCAGTTTGGTAATTTTTAAAAAATTTTGGCAAATTTATCACGTATGATCCAATCATTCTTCTAGGTATCCTCAAAAAAAAAATATATATATATATATCTGTTGGTAAAAAGACTTGTATACCCATAGTCATTGCAGCTTTTCTAGTAATAGCTAATAACTTGGAAAACAAACAATGAATGCTCATCAACAGGTCAGGTATATAAATCCAATAGAACATTGCTCAGCAGTAATAAAGAATAAACTATTGATAAGTACAACATCATGGATGAAACTCAAAATAATTATGCTGTGTGGAAGAAATCAAACCTAAAAGAATATGTCCTATAAAATCAATGCCTATGAAATTCTAGAAAATACAATTCACTGTCAATAGAGAAACAGACAATTGCTAGGAAGAGGGGGAAAGAAGGGATTACGCTTCATCTTAGCCAAAAGGCCGACAAGCTACAAGAAGGGATTCCAAAGGGAAATGCAGAGGTGGCTTCATGGAACTACAACCATTATGGATGCACAGAGCCCATGTTCAGATCTGCCCTGTGCTTGGAGTTTAATGTGATGCTGTAACCCTCTTGAAATTCTTATTTTATCTCTGAGTTTTTGTTTTATAAATGGAATCATAAAACGGAACATGTGTGACAACGGAACATGTGGTAGGAGTTTGGAGCCTTGGCTCACAGGGAGCCCCTGATACCACTGTCTACTGCGACCAGGACTGGTTCTTGGCTGCCCCCTCACAGAACTCTGGCACCTTGGGACCCTACGCAGGACCACTGCCACCTTTAGTCAGGAGTGGAGACCAGGTTGCTTGGGCAGGGAGGCTGTATGCAGTGCAGCTGCATCCCTCTGCTCCTGTGGGAGCCTGCGTGCATGGGCAGAGAGGGGAGAGGGAGGGCCGGTGTGGCCAAGAGGCGTCTTAGGGAAGGGTAAAGAGAAGACCACCCTCTTTTGGTTGGCAGCACCTCAGCACATTTGAAAGGCGAACCATATGGAATCTCTTAGCTATCTAGATCCAGGAATAGAGCATGTTGCAGGATAGACGTCTCATTCCTTGGAGGTGTCCGGACCACCAAGATGGGATTACGGGACTATGAACTCGTAGGAAGAGGAGATTGACTTCCCTGCACCCCACAGGGATCCCACATTTTTGCTATGCACTGGTTACTGCAAATTGTATATCTTGCCCCGGGAATTTGTGCTCCCTTTTCATATGTTCACTATCTTGATTGTGGCAAGGTTTTCACAGGTATATTCTTTCATCAAAACTTACCAAATTATAACTCTTTACATATGTATGGTTTATTGTATGTCAGGTATGCCTCAACAAAACTGTGGCAGAAAATCCAAGAGAAATGAAAAAATGGGTCAGTTTATTACCAACTGATATATTTGTATGTAAACACGCAGCTCTATATGTAATTTGGATAGAAGAAGAATATTGTTTTCATACCCATGGAAGGCAAATAATTAGTAGTATTTTTATCACCAATGACAGGGTATGCAGCTATCAAACACATAGCTCAGGAAACAACTGCTTTCCATATTATGTAATACAAAATAACAAATTTATAAAACTAATTGGTGCTTGAATCAGGTAACACTCTAAGGTCACACTGAAGGTTTTTCAAATCATTGCAAGGTATTTTCTGACTGAAATCTTAGGTTAAAAGGAGGGAACTAAGTATAAAGGATTTGAAGTTTCTTTTAAACAAATAATTCCAAGGCTATATTTCAAAAAATTAAAACATGGGAGTCCTGTCGTTTCTCCCACTGATCTATTTGCCAATCAGAAGAAAGAAAGTATCAGCAGAATTGGGTTTTTTTTTCACCAATTCTATTTCCTGATGTGAGGAATTTTATTTAGTCTAGGAGACCAGGAAATTCACTACCTAGCACAGCTTTCAAATTAGCCTAGCATCGTTGTGGTTGATCATGGCAGAATCTTCTTGTCTCCAAGACACTCTCTTGCTTCCTATGGCTACCAAAGAAGGGTAAGATTATCCAATTGAGAGGTTGAAAAGGACAACTGTTACTGTGTACTAAAGAGTATTATACATCCGTTTAAGAGAATATGAATTCAGTATCACCAAGGCAGAATAATTGTTTAAATATATAAGTAAATACACATATATATGCATACATATATATGAGCATTCATGAACCCAACAATCCAAAAAACAGCTACAAGCTAACACTGCTTAGATAATCAATAAGAGGACTTTAAAAAAATAAGCAATATATAATGAAAACTATCTTTATAGATATTCATTATGTATGTAAATGCATACAAATATTCACTCAAAAATTGATAAAAGGATTATCCTTTTAGAAGTACCTTGAATTGTTGAAGCAGTCAAGTGGAATTGTAATGTCGTTTGAATTACTTTACAATGTGAATGTTAACATTTGCTGTGCATACCTAAAAATGATTTTCAAAATTATACATGAATGTGCTTTGTAAAAAGTGAACAAAACATATGAAAAACAAATGACAAAACAACTGACAAACAAATATCAGAACTGTTCAATACCATTAGAGTTATTACTGTCACTACAGGGATCTGCAACAGCAAACATGCCAAAACTGGAATGCGGGTAAACTAATGAAAGATTTATTAGTAATCGTGGTTATGTATCCTAACCAAAAAGAAAAATAAGTGTGTCATTAATGCAGAGCCACTTATAGTAAAGGAGCAGTGTGTGTTCTAAAGAGGAGATTTTTGCTCAGAGGCCTCCAACGCTTCCACAATGAGAGTGCATTTAAAAGAAATCTGCTTTTAATATCTTCTTCCATGGCAGAGAATTTATTGACTCATTGAAACTAACCTTTGTAGAATGCATCCATTTCCCAGGTATTTTGCTAGGCAGAGAAATTCAAACTATATGATGTATCTCTAATTGCCATGAAAAAATAACAAGATGCTTTGATTGAATTACTCTGATTTCCTCATCATTATAAAAGCCACACTGATATGATTGCCTAAAAGTTATTGCCCTGTACATTTTTCAGGAACGCTTCATTGATATTTGAATGCAAACTACACATAAAATAAGGAGAAAATGGAGTTTTTATTAGTTATGATACATTCCTGGCCTTTTAAAATATGTGTTTGATACTCCATCTATTTAAGACAATGTTTTTCAAATAACTAATGACATATATTCTTTCTCTCCTTCTTTCTTCCTCAAACAGAGGGTTGTGTGGAACTGTTCTAGAACTCTGACTGGACTGAGGCAAAATCTTTAAGCAAAATTATTTTAGCGCTGTGCTTGGTGCTTTTCCTTAATATTTCACATCGTCTGAAAACAGAAGATCAAAGTGAAAATCAGTGAAGCTCACCCAAATGTCAGAATTGGTTGTACTTGTAGTTTACAAGATAAAATGAACAGACTTGCATGATGTTATCACCAGGACAGTAATTTAAATGCTGATTATGACTGCATACACAGTCAAAAGAAAATGAATGATATTAAAAATCATATATAAATGGAACACCTCTCATACTTTAAGTCCACACGAAGACATCATATATTTACTATGTTTCAGAAATATCAACATTTTTGTTTACACGTAAATTAAATGTGCATTTTATGGCATATAAGATAGCAATTAACTGACATCCTACTCAAATTGAAATTTAAAACATGTTAAATTTATATTGAATAGTAGCCTCTGCAGGGATAAGAGAGAAGCAGGACTGATTTTTACTGTGGTGTAAGAAAATCTAAATTGTATGTTTAACTTTTTGTATGTCAACTAAATCACATAGTCCATTATGAAGGGAATAAAATACACAATATTAGTTTCAGAAAGTACTCTTTTGATCATTTATTAACAAAAATAAAACAACAAACAGTTTTTTCCTCCAAATGAGGCGATTGCAGGCCTATTTACTTTGCTTACCAAGTACTCTCTTAATTTTAGATTATTATAGTTTGTCCTAATCCAGAATTTGGATGAGATTTGAAGAACAATACAATTAAAATGAAAATCAAAGTGGTATCCAGGTTATTTTTAAACAAACAACTTCTACTAAAGCAAATAAATACATAATACTTAGTCAATGGGTTCCAACCAGGATACTAGAATGTATTTAAGACAAATGAACAAGAAAGTATCTTTTTGAGTCTTATTCTCAAAAAAAGAGTAATCTTATGATCTTCCATAGCTATATAAATAATTTCTTCATTAGTGTGTCTATGTATATAATGTATATGTGTGCCTGTATGTGTATACATACAAATATATACACACACACGCAAATAGATTTAAATAAGAAAATGAACATGAAACATTTTATGCTTAAATAAAAAAAATGAACTCGGCAGTCAGAGGTGAAAAATAATGTGATTGAACTTTTAAAAGCCTTGGATATTTTAGAAGAGAGATCTTAAAGATAGAGAAATGTATATTAAAACTACAATCGATAATACCAATAATTCATCATTGCTTCAGGAAAAATAAAAGTGCTGCCAAATGGAGGGAATTTAGAAATTCCTGAGCGAAGTGCTTGTTGAGATAAATTCCTGAAAGGAAAATTAAACAAACATGCCATTAAAACAGGAAGCTTTTTTCTACAAGCATTACACTTATAGCAGTAAAACACAGCACGAGATTCGAAGTCTTATTTTTTAAAAAAGAGAGTTTCAAATAAAAGTTGACGATGGATGAGTCGTGTCCTATTCTTGATTTGGATAAAATAAATGGCAAACTGTTAACAGAATTTTAAAGACTGCAATACAAGTTCAATAAAGTTGTGAGTTCAACAGACTGAAAGCCTTGGAAATCCAGATCCAGTCAGGTAAAGTAACTGGAGAAACTACTGGGGTTCCATATAATGAGTGTTCCAATGGCTGAGAAGAATATCAGTGCACATATTGTTAAATTCATTATTGGTTTTGATCAGTAGAGTATCTTTCTCCAATTAACCTTTTCTCAGCAAAGTAAATGAGACCCTGATGGTCTGCCATCATTAATATATCTTTCGAAACTTAGCAATTCTCTTCTTTCTCAACAATGACATTTTGAAACTTACTGCCTTTTGTATGGAAACCACTTTACATATATTAAGCCATTAATAAAACTATCCTTTTGGAAAAAAGATAGAAATTTATTTTAAAATTAATACGTTTGTTCTTTTCTTTGTTTTTTGTTTGTTTGTTTTTTGTTTTTGAGACGGAGTCTCGCTCTGTCGCCCAGGCTGAAGTGCAGTGGCGTGATCTCGGCTCACTGCAAGCTCCGCCTCCCGGGTTCAAGCCATTCTCCTGCTTCAGCCTCCCAAGTATCTTGGACTACAGGCGCCCGCCACTATGCCCGGCTAATTTTTTGTATTTTTAGTAGAGACGGGGTTTCACCGTGTTAGCCAGGATGGTCTCGATCTCCTGACCTCATGATTCACCAGCATCGGCCTCCCAAAGTGCTGAGATTACAGGCGTGAGCCACCACGCCCAGCCCTACGTTTGTTGTTTTCTTACAAAGTTGTACACCTACAAAATAGCAAGATGGACACTCATTATAATTTTTTTAATGTTATTGTTATTACTAATTTATTTATTAGAAGAGTTGAAGTAGTGTTCCTGTCTAGAGATTACTCTAATGAAGTCCAATACGTCTTTTTATTCAAAGCTCAATTTGGAAACAAAAGCAGCTTGGCTGAGATTTATGTAGCCAGAGTTCTAATTAAGAGCATGACCCAAACATGCAGTTAGTATATTTTAATTGAAAAAGTTCAATCATATAGATTTTGTAAAGGCTTAAAGTGTCTTTACTGAAAAAATCTGTGTTCATATTTTCTTTAGGTTCTTTCATATATGTGTCAAAGTTTGATAAAAACATAATTGAGAAATTACTTACTCTTTATAGCAGGCATTCTTTGACCCTGTTATGGGCAATAAGGGCAGTGAGATCTGAAGATTGTACTGAACAGTTTTATAGCAGCAGACAAAGTGGTTTCATTACCACAGGCTCAGTTTTCTCTTGTGAGTCTTAGACAATTCTTTCACTGTCCTTATTGCAGTCAATTCGTTATTTGAACCGTTTTCCTCTGAAGTCATGTTGTTTCATGGAGTACCTTGGTCTGTCCTGATTCTCAAGGCTCCCTTTAACCTAAAAGTTATTCTGATGGGTTCAAGACAGGAATTCCTCTCAAAATCAATTTGAAGGCTGCAAAGATATTTAGTGTAGTATTTGGAATAAATATTACTTTGAGTTGAAACACTCATCCCTGAAGGGCAAAAACTAATATAGTCCAAGCAATATGCTGTTGGCAGATCTTAAATAAGCTCTATCCTCTCACGGTTTGAGAGGCAGATTGCTTATGCTTCATGAGAGCCAAGCTTCTTGTCTCAGGAACATAAAGGATGAGATTCTGTCCTGAAGGACCATTTCAAAAATATTGGAATTTTTATAGTGTGTCTAGTTTGTTATAATACAAAATATCTGTGTTTCCAGTGTTTCACAAGTTTAGCATGGGGATCAGATTTTCTCTTGCTCAAGCATATTGCCCAAGGCAAATATTAGCATTTCTGGTGACATCTTGTTTTGGATTATGAAGTGCATCCAAAGTGTGAAAAGGTGCACAGTGAGCAATCTGACTATAGACTTTCTTGAAGATGAGTTACCCCTAAAGTCATTTTTCCCCTTTCAGTAATTTACTCATTGTGACCTGGTATTATTTTTAGATTTCAATTATTTCGTGTATGAATTTCAACAAAATGCTTTTTACTCCATAACAGAACCCAAATCCAAACCCAAACTCAACTTTATTTGGTAGAAATGTTTTAAGAAGTTGACTTGCATATGGAAAATACTATGAAAAAATTATATGCATACCTCTTCAATCTACAACTTATATGTGGATGACTAGATAGGCCTTTCATAAGCAATGTATAAGATTGCATAAAGTGTTTTAATTTTTGTTACAAATTGCATTAATCTGTTTGGATTAATCATCATCTTCTCTTCACCAAACTTCTGTTTTGCATATCTATCCACATTAATATATAAAGATCTACTTCATTCTTTTAAATCCCTACATGATACTCTTTTCTTTGAAAACTATCATTGATATTTAGATTGTTTTCTAGCTTTTAGAGTTAAAAAAAAAAAAAAAAGCAAAGCAAAATCTTGCAACAAACACCACTGTAATTGTCCCTTTTCAAGGGACACTGGCAAGAGGTTTGAGTTTTAGGTTAAATTTTCAATTTTACTACCATCAATTTCAGTTTATTTGTAATTCTGTATTTTAAAAAATAATACCAAATTAAAAATTGCGTTTATTTAAATAAGTCTATTATAGTTAACTGCCCCTTCAATTTCTTAAACATCTTAAGGCTACTCAACATAATTTTTTTCTAAAAGGATTATATATACCTATTTCATATTTAAATATATATATTATATTTGTATATAAATTTTATATGTATATATATACATAATTCGTATTTTAAAATGTAGTAGAATCTCTTAATGTTTTTCCAATGTTTCATTTACTTTTAAAGACTGTTAAAGTAAACTATTAAAGAAAACTCTGCACAATTCAATTACTGATTTACTACCAGATTCAAAACAAAATCTAACAATAACAAAGTGCTCACTACATTTCCACTACTGTAGATTTAAAAAAAAAAAAACAACTTCATGATACTCTAAGCAAATATAATGACATAAAATCTCATTTATTCATATTAAATATCATTAATAACTTGAGGGATCATTTTAATAAATGAACTAAGCAAATGTTTCTTAGGAACAATTCAAAAATAACATCTTTGCTTTACAAGATTATTTTTATACCTCTTATGTAAGTTGCAAATGTATTTTTCTACACTTGAAGCACTGACATATTAACTTTTTACAACCTCAAATATTTTTCCATAATATCAAAACATTATTATTAGCAATATGACTTTTCTGTAAAAAACAATAAAGATTTACTTAATTTAAGCTGTTATTAAAAAGAAAATGCATTCTGACACCAGCCAACTTGGGAAATGAAAATAAACAGAGATGATGTAAATTTAAATTCATTATTATTTTGTATAAAAAGGAAACAGTCACTGTAGTTTAAACCCAAAATTTATTAGTTCTGTAAACCAGTCTGGTTTTAAAAAGACTTTAAGCCTTATCTGAATCACATGAAGTGGTATCTACTGTATTATTCTTTATTTTCTTGGTTGCACATGACATCCATTGGCCTATGGTAGGCATTACTTGTTTTATATTAATAACATATTAATAAATCCAAGTATCTGAGTGACTTCAAAGGACTTACAATTTGATTGAAAAATTCTCGCTAGCTTCACAACAGATTGGAAGTTTAAAAAAAGAGAAAATTTGCCTTTACAATCAGTTTGAGTACACTAGTTTGAAAGGGATTATATGCATTTACACACACGTATATACTAATAACACGGTAAAAATCCATTAAATGACTAATAATAGCAGTATGAATATTATAATAAAAATAATAGGAAATTGACCAGTATTATAAAAATTGAATACGGCCAGCTGAGTGCAGTGGCTCACACCTGTAATCCGAGCACACTGGGAGGCTGAGACGGGCGGATCACTTGAGGTCAGGAGTGGGAGACTAGCCTGGTCAACATGGCCAAATCCAAAAATACAAAAATCATTCAGGCATAGTGGGGGGCACCTGTAATCCCAGGAACTCGGGAGACTGAGGTAAGAGAATCACTTGAACCCAGGAGGCTGAGGTTGCAGTGAGCTGAGATTGTGCCACTGTACTCCAGTGTGGTTAACAGAGTGAGACTCTGTCTCAAAAAAAAAAAAAAAAAGAAAAGAAAAAGATTAGGAATTACATACAAAGGCTTTTTCATAGCCTAGACATCTGACCAAAAAGTATGAACCTCCCAATAATTACTAATTAATGAAACTTTCATTTGTTATGTTTTCCTTAACATTTCTCTTTTGAAGAGAACATTGATATAATTCCTGAACTATTGATAATTCGTAATTGTTGGCCTGTATTTACTCAATTGAGAAAAAAAAGCAAATGAGCAAAAAAGCTGTTTATTTATAAATTATAAATGGAGTATCACTGATGCACCAAAATTATATCTTTGCACTGAAGAAGATCACAAAATAGATTTGGAAGCAATTACATGAAAATAATGACCAAGAATTATACGATACATGTATGTATATAATTTATTTTACACAGAGAGAGAGAGAGAGAGAGAGTGAGAGAAGAGTTACCTCCTTTGGTGTGCAAAATATAGCCACCAATGATGAATAGAGACCTCAGTTGAAGGTGTAAATTTATAAGGGAATGAATGTGTGCATATGCATGTTTCTGCAGTTACACATGTGCATGTTGGTGGAAGAAGTTGCTGAAGAATGCATGAGGAGGGCAGGGCAAGAGAGACAAAGAAAGACCAAATACAAGGAAAAATCACAGCACTCATGGTGCTAAGGAATTCCATGGAGAATAGTACTGATGAAAAGTAGAATACTGGCCGGGCATGGTGGCTCACGCCTGTAATCCCAGCACTTTGGGAGGCTAAAGTGTACAGATCCCTTGAGCCCAGGAGTTTCAGACCAGCCTGTGCTACATGGTGAAAACTCTACAAATTAAAAAAGAAAAAGAAGAGGAAGAAGAAGAAGAAGAAGAGGAAGAAGGAGGAGGAGGAGGAGGAGGAGGAGGAGGAGGA